TCGTGTATATATTATTTATCTCGTATAAGATGCATTTGGTTGAGTTGCGCTGCAGTAAAGCGCTTCATTGTAGTGCTATGGTGATTAGCTCTTCAGCGAGCAGGACAAACAACAATGCAGAATATTAATATCGATGACTGGGACTGTCATATACATAACATTGCCAGCCATTCAAAATGCCAACACCATGACACCATTATAGTATACAAATCAAGAGCCCTAGTATGTTCAACCCACAAACTTTGTTCTTGTGTACCCTGTTTCCCAGGCAACGCCTGGCCCTGACACCAACCAAGACCACATGAGAGAACATGGCAGAATACATCTTTAATTAGTCATCTGATATGGGATACAGTCCACAGCCTGTTATGGGCTGCAATTGGCAACTAGTCTGAGCACACTCTGTTCTTCCGTTAAATAGACAAGGAGCTCTGTGGTGCGGCTGTCTGACCACCAGATCCGTGACCGATCCTGTTTTCCTTTCTGAGGCTGGCCATTGTCAGGAACCGTGCCCACTGACAGCTTGGTTCGGAAAAACCGGAGGCTGTACAAGGGGGGCATTGGTCTACAGTTGTTTAATTACACCAGCACTGTCCATCACTGTTTGGACACAAAACCTCCAACTGTGGGTCGTTCCATATGTGTCTAAACATGGACTTTCAATCTGATCGTCAGGAACTGAAAACTTCTCTCTCTCAGCTTGCAGCCTGTCTGAAACGCTGTAATAAAAGTACTAAAGGCACACTAGAAACACAGCCTCTCTGCCAGGGGTCAGTGAACACGATTGCTATTTGGGTCTTGAGGCCATCAGTGTTGATGCTCAACACATGAAAAAAAGAAGAAGAACAAACCTTCTCTTCAGATTTACAAGCTTTGGGATAAAGCGTTTGATAGCTTGGTATCATAATATTGCTACACACATAAAGTAGGGGTCCTGAATAGTTGACGATTCGATGATTTGATAGGAGGAGCCTGATTTGACTCCCAATCTCACAGTCGAATATTCGCTGAGGAGTTATGATCATGCCGTTTTGGCTATATGGGGGTGCTCAAATGTCTGATTTCACATAGAACTACCGGTTTTCTCCCAGTAAGTTATAATGCTGTAAATAGGAATCTGAAAAGAAAGAAGCTTTAAATAAATATTTTAATGTGCGTGAATAAATCCAACCACCCCTAAAGTTTCACTTTCCATAACCCGTGACCGACAGAGAAGCATCTTGGCAGCCGGGATTTAAATCTTTAACAAGACTCAAATTGACACAGTCAGAGTGAAAGACTGGATTTTTTTCGATCAGGTAGGGTACAAGTGATTTCAAAACATTTCAGCCGGTTAATATCATGTATTTTATTTATCTCGTATAAGATGCATTTGGTTGAGTTACGCTGCAGTAAAGCGCTTCATTAATACTTTTTGTAGGTGATTATCTATGCATATTATTTTGTAGGTATTACAATGCATAATATTAATGATGACTATGACTGGGACTGTCATATACATAACATTATAATGAGAACACCATTATAATAAAACGCTGTGAATTTTTTGTTTAGTCACTGTTTCTGCACGTTGTTGCGTGAAGAACGCGTCCACAAAAGGAGTTCATTCAGAGACACAGAATGAACGAGTTCATTCCGCACAGACACGTTCGTGCATTCGAGGCATTTTGTGCAGATAGCCAATAAGTCGTAACATTAACGTTATGTTGTATAAATAACGAAGCGTATTCTATATGAGATAAATGATGAGTTAAATCCCATTGGTTAAAAACCTGCTGCTTCATTCTACTGGTCATCTTCAGCGCGCGCAGCTCAAAACAGAAATGCAGAACATTAATAACTACTGTCATATACATAACGTCATAATGAGAGCACTGTTGTAAAAAATGTTGTGAATTCTTAGGGTTTCGCTGACATTTAATGTTAACTATCTTTTAATTAAAACATAAAACATTGTTCACCCCGTTTGTATCTGCGTGTGTTAACGTAATTATGACTGTAGACATTGTAAACGGGCTTTTTGGTCACAGTTATGAATATGGGACTACTAATATAAAATTGTATTTTATATGTATAGTAAGCAGAATAATTGCAAGATTATGTGGAGGTAATGTTTGACATTTTGACACTGCAAGCTTCATTCTTTCTGTCAAGTCTGAATTGGGACGCAACCCATAACGCGTTATGACAATGACGTCTCAGATCGT